AATCATAATTCCTTGTCATAATTTGTGTTTTTCATTGTTGCTAGTGTATAACTGTATATTTATAAAGATATGCAGCAAGCAAGAACTTGCCCTACAGTGTTTAGTTCAAGCTGCAGTTGAGAAACATCGGAGGAAAATCCTGTTAGATATAAACAAATGATTTCTTGATTTAATTTTCACCCTGTTTATGGAAAAGGACAACCCAATATTTGAGGAACAATACACATTTCACCAAATGAATAAAGTGGGGAATCCTTTTATTAACCGGATCCCAGTTGCTGAATAGACACAACCGTGGTTGGAGGGGAGCTAGCAGAGAACCTCAGTTTAAGCAAGTCTTCACTCTTCCTCGCAAAACAATAACATCACTATTCTGAGGGAACCAAGAGCTGCATTTTCAAAACCCCAGAGCCGGCAGAGCTTAAGCAGTCTCACAAAAAAGAGCTCTCCCTCCTTCCCCCAGGTCTCCAAGACCTTCATCACCATTCAAGAGAGACCTGCCCTAACATAACCAGCCTGTGAAACCTGGGCTCTCAGCACGCAACTGAGAATGCACCCAGAGTTCTCTGTTCAACCCCATCCAACCTCACCTACAATGGGGGAAAACCTTGAGGCATTCTTGTTTGTCATAGATATTATCTGGTCATTTTTGGTGAGATAGTGAGAAAGGATCACGAAACGCTGGCAACACGGCAAATGTGCTTTCTCATGCTTTACAGAGACACACCATAAAGAAAGATAAACAACTGGAATTAATTGAGCAAAAGATGCATGCCAAACTGCTTAATCAACAGCAGTTGCCACCTCAGATTAGAGCTCCAGACTGAGGTGGCCAGCACCAAAGGTGCAGACGCAGAGGCGCTCAGTCCTGTGCCGGTCTCTTGGCACACCAAACTGCACAAGGGAATCAGGCCAGAACCACAGCCCCAATCCTGCTTTCTATGTGACTGGCTCTCCAAAACGAAAAGAAAGAAACTTCCTAAAGGATCCCTTCCCTTGCTTCTGTACTAATATTAAGCATGCACAAGATTGGTGTTGGTGTTGTTGCCAAGTGCCTTCTTGTATTCGTACAAAATACAGAATATAAAAGCCTACTTTTTTGTTGTTGTTAATTACAAACGCAGAGACACTGTTATCTACAGGAAGCAACCAGAATTATGAATAAACCACAGCTGACCTTCAAGAGCCAATTGAAAATAAACATATTTACTACTGAACTCTGTTTTGTCGCTTTGGCATGAACTACTCTTTGGTAACATATCTGGTGTCTCCAGTTTTCTTTATTACCACATCCTTCTTTGCTCCATTTTACAAACTTCAGTAGTTCATTGCTGAGTCACTTTTGTAAAATATATATTCTATCACTACACAGTAAATAGACAAAAGCAAACAAAAAAAAATCTTAAACCTAGTATAACTCATAAAAAGCAGCAAGCATATAAACAAACCATATTACTGAAAACATTTTTATAATATCTTTGTACACTTAAAATTACTATTAAAAATTACAGGGTAAAAGTAGCACAAAATCTTATTGGAAACCACCTTCCAGCTCAACATTATATGTTATTAGTTTGTAGTAATGAATAAGCATAATAAGAACACCTAATTCTTGTTCTAAAAATTATGGATTTTTGCTCGAACTATAAAAAGTTGCTAAAATTAAAGGAAGCTCGTTACACCAGCGTTTTGATTTCCATACACTTAAAAAAAACGAAACATACTTACAGATACTTGACTAACGTTGTAAGTTTTATCCATGAATAAATAGTCCCTCAGGGACTTCTCTCTCATTTTAAGTAAATGAGAGATCTATCAAGTTGATGCCAAACATGTATTTATTTCTTCTTTTCAGCAAAACACATGCAGGCGAGGTGTCTTCTTCCTTCCCAATGGAGTCCCACCCAGATTGAACTCCTGTTTATGCATCTACGCTTCCAAACAAGAAGCTCCACATGCAGGCTTTAAATTGTTGCTGAGATAGTTCTGCATAACAATGAGCCACCTGTGAGAAAACACACTGGTGCCGAATCTTCCACTGCATAAAAAGCTGATCAAAAGGCTTCCAAAGTCCTTATTTTCAAACTCTAACTAGCTCTATGATTGAACCCTCTTTTAAGCCTGTTGCAATTTTCTCTGGTTTTGGCTTGTAGCTGCATGTTCTTGCAAGATTACAATCGTATGCAAGCCTGTTATGCTATTTGCTCTTTCCGACTTCTCAGTTCCATGCCCCTTTGAGTAAGCAGCAGAAGTTTACAGGATTCCTTTTCCTGGTAGAACAGGATTCTCATCAATTTCAGTACCACACCCACTTACTCCAATTCACCAGGTTACAAGTGCTGAGGCCACTTTGTCATGTCATGTAGAACTCAAAATCCAACCCCAAAAAGTCATTTTATGGAACCAAGTTGACTGAACCTGTTCATCATATGTGAAAACTAAATAGAGATTTCCCCCCCAACATATAGTTAGACATCTTGCTGCCATGAGGGATAACAATATTTAATGAAAGGAATTACAAAAGAGACTCTTATACCACATATCTCAGGGACCTCAAACTGACCGCACAGGAAAACGTCATAAGACAAATTCCATAGTAGTCCAGTACACAAGGTATAGCTAGGGGCTCTGGGGCAAGTGATGCTCTGTCTTCTTGGTGCTTGGGGGGGGGTCAACAGTGGGAGGGCTTCTAATGTCCTGGCCCCACTGCTGGACCTCCTGATGGCACTGGTATTTCTGGCCACTGTGTGACACAGAGTGTTGGACTGGATGGGCCTTTGGCCTGATCCAACATTGGCGTCTCTTATGTTCTTATGTTCTTAACAGAAACTGCATCCCCTGCATCTATATATCTAATCCAAACAATGGGAGTAGCTGGGAGCAGCAGCCAAAGTGGGGAGGTGGGAGAAAGTGGAGAAAGGCCTGGAGGAAAAGAAAAACATGAATAATGGAATGTAGGGGAAGAAAGTAAAGAAATGTATGGGGACAGAAAAAGAGAGAGGAAAACGAGGTGGGAAAAAGAAGTAGAGACACTGCCTGGAAGAGAGATAAAGTGGGTACCAGATAAAGTAGGGGAAGATTCCCCCCAACCTCACAGGTTGAGGGGGCTTGTTAGAACATGACAAGAAGGGGGACTCGCAATACTTGTGGGGGGGAGGAGCTCCATGCAGAGGACAAGGAAGCAGCCGCAGGTAAGCCTTCTCCCTCCCGGCACCAACGGCAAGGCTTGTGTGGCTTCCAGCTGCCGGGCCCGCTAAGGCTTCTCCCCCCCCCGCACCAATGGCAAGGCCTGCACGGTTCCCACCAGGTCCACCAAGCTTTCACACACCCCCTGCACCAACGGCGAGGCCCGTGTGGCTCCTACCAAGCAGGGAACGCTCTTTTACTTTTGGGGGGATTTAAGTATCCCCCTATAGTTTTTTATAGTTTTCAGATTTTTCTGCACATCTGGGGATTGCCCCAAATGTGCAGGAAAATCTCTTTGCCCCCTAGGTGCACCCGATGTGCAGATTTAGATATCCGCACGCAGGGGGTGCCTTGGCTATTAGTATATAGACAAGTGGAGACCCGCAAGAAACTTGCGGAATGGTTATCCTATTCCTCACACCTTTGCTTCCTCCTGTCTCCCTCTACCTCTCTCACACTCTTTCTCCCTTCTGCCCCCCCCTTTTATTATCCAGTTCACACCTAGAGTTCTGGATATAGGGTTTTATCCAACTATCTCTTGCATCGTTAAGCAAATCACAGTAGAATAGACAATGTTGAAGGGTGTCTATTTGGCCTGAACTGCATTGGCACAGTCACTCAGAGTAAGGCACCTTGTTTAAGTCTCCCAATAGCTCCCCTGATGGAATAGCATTCAGCCTCGCCAGCATAAATAATCAACTACAGCATGAAACTGTCAGAAAATCAAAATAGGCTGGAAGAGATTGTGGTAACATTAAACCTAAATATAAAGGTGAGAGCACTCTGTGTGCTCTTATCATGGTACTTCTAGTATCCGATTTTTCCAGACAGCATAAGATTGAAGAGAGAGCAGTGGAAGGCCCTTGTTCTTTCAGATCACGAGAGAGTCTGGATGCAACTTTCAACCAATTTGCTCCATGGACTTTGATAAGAGTCTGCTTGCAATACATGTAATATCCATTTGACTCTGTGGAGAATAAAATCTTGACCCAGAATCTAAAGGTTGCAGCCCAGATCCGAGGTTCAAAGGTTCTGAGACCTAGTTCTGCCCTCAATAATAACTCCAGCAATGCAGTTAGGAGCACCTGTAATTTTTCAGAGAAAATAATTCAGAAGGGAGTCAATCGATTCTCCACAAGCTTCAACCCACAAAGGTGCTTCATACAAAAATTGCGATCCTACTTTGCACTTAAGTACAGTAATGGCAACTGGAATATATTGTCTTCCTTTAAAATAAAAAACCTGGATTATTGCCTTCGTAACAATAAGCGCTGTAGATCATGCATTTCTAATACGAGTTATCAAAGACATATTAGATTGGAAATAAATCTCAAGATATTTAAATTGGGTAACCTGTTCAATAAGATTTCCATTTACGTGCCAAGATATTTCTTCTGACGTGAAGACCTAAAGAACTGCATCATTTTAGACTTACTATAATTTACAATCAGGTCCTCAGAGTCACAATACTCTGCACAAGAGTACAGAAATCAGCGCAGACCCAACGGGGGTTCTAGAGAGTAACACAGTTATCATCAGCATATAGTAAGATTGGGATGGAAGTTTGTGACAATACAGGGGATTCCCCCCCCCCAACCTCACAGGTCCCTAGCTTGTTAGAACATGATGTTAATTAATGCATACATTCAACATAAAGTAATATATTTACTTTTAATCAAGAAAATACATTCCAGCTTTTCTTGAATCTACAGATCAAGCACCAAAATGAATTGGCTTGTGAACACCTGTTCACTTTCATCATTTGAAGTCTGTTTTCATTAGAAACACTGAAAGTTTAGAGTCTTAAATATTACCTCAAGATCATCAAGTGAACGAGTAATGCTGAATCTCTTTGACCGTCCAAATGATCTTCTAGCAGAGGAACGCTGGGGAGCTTGTGCCAATTCAGAAGGATGTCCAAACACTGAACGCTAAACAAGACAGGAGATATATGTATTGAATTCTATTTTTACAAGTTATGTTTATTCTCTCAAAAGCAAAGTTACTTTAATTCTGTTATCTTGTCAAATAACACTGAGTTTCAAAAAATAAGAGTTTACTTTACCGAGTACTGGAACTGCATATAAAGGCTCTTAGCAGCTGCACCAAAATTCTTTCACCACTCAGATCTTTGGTCATGAGAAGGGCCTACTTTTGACATTTTTGTCCTAATCTGCTAAATCATTGACTAGCAAGTGAAAGAAACACAGTATAGAGAATGGTCCCCTACAGAACCAGAAGGGGAGAGTAGCAGCAACCAATAAATGGCAGCTATCAGTATACTTACTGCTTTAAACCATGCCATTCCATCTGCCTGACAATGTCCACAGAATGGTAAGAGTGTCTTCTAATGCAGTGCAATTTGTATGGGTGCTACTGTTAGTACCTGCTTGTATTAAAGATTATAGACTGAAGGTAGAATCCTTTTCATACAAACTGGAGACCTGGCCTACAAGGAGTTATGAGAGGGTTGAACTGCTGGATAAAGTATATGACAGAGAAATGGAGCAACGTGCAACATCTCTAGAGCGTAAAATTCTTAACCTATGTCTTGATGGGTGGAGTAATGTCCACAATGAGCCTGTTGTACTGTTACCCCTACCAGCTTCAATTTAAAAGTTGAATAGCTGATTTTAGTTTTGGGGGAGAAATTAGTCAAATGATAGGCCACAGCAGGAGGTAGGGAAATAAGCATGGATCTGCTATCAGTTTTTACGGAGATAGTTCCCTTTAGACCCTTAGTTTAAAACAATGAGTCCAAATTATAACAGAAATGGGTTTTATTTAAATAATAACAATAATGTAGATATTTACATTCAAATCAGGGACTGCAAGCATACAAGAAGATTTAGACAGTGGATAGCAGACAAATAGAGGGGGTTGGGGAGTATCAGGACAATACTATACCTATCCTGAAGAGATGAAGAAATCCAAGGTATGAAGAGAGGAGGTGCATGGACCGACTAGTGAGACCACAGAGGACCTGAATTGTGATCAGGGGTGTCAGCTTTGTGTGCGCCCAGCTAAATCACACTGGGCATGTGCAAGACTGGGTATATTTATACCCCAAATGTATCCTGAAGGTATGTTAAAGTGTGGTAGCTAGTTTCACAATGGATTGATAGGATTCCCATTGTGGAGTAATAGGGTGATCTGGTATTTCCCTAGTACCAGACAAAGGAGGAGAATATCCTTAATGTTTGATAGCATGAAGCTGAATGGATGACCATTCTACAGAAATACAGAGTCAGTGTTTACCTTGATGGGTCTGGCGTAGGTGAGAGAAGTGCAGATAGGTGCAGAAATGTAAAGATTATCAAGAGGTATTTCCTGAGTTCCAGGATGTGAAAGGATTTGGGCCAGGAAACATACAACATATTCTATTCATGATAGAGACACAGTGACCAGTAGCGTACTGTCTCTGTCTGCCTGTGCATTTGACAAACAAATGACTTGGCACCCGGTCAGGAGAAGATGCCTGAGGCGAGAGCAAGTTTTCCCAGCCAAAATGAGGTTTAGTCTCCCAGCAAAAGCCACTGTTTAAGCCAAGCCTGGCTTTATGAGGGCACTGCTTTTGGAGGTTCAGGGGTGGTTTCGAGGTGTCTCTCTCTCTCTCTCAGGAAAAACCACCCTATGTTGAAAAACGGGAACAGAAAACGGGAATGTCTTCCTTGCAGAAACAATTGATATGTCAGGAAATGCACACACAACAGAATACTCACAAGAAGTGGCAGCAAAACCTATAATTGTCAGGTACTTCAATAACTCAGCATCAAAAGCAGGTCCTTAAACAGGTTCAACTTTATTGATCAGAGCAAGGTGAAGTCATCTTAGACTCTTTGAGTCAGGAATGAAGCTGTGATGAACTAGGAAAAAACACTCTGAGGGGAGGTAGTAGCAGAGGCTCACTCTGATTGGTGAGTCGCCTCCATGACAATGGAATGCATCCAGCAGGGGGCTGGGGGGGGGGGAGAATGAGAGCTGACAGTTGGAAGGGTGGAGAGAGTGAATCTATTGGAGGAGGGGGCCTTTTGGGCGGCTGCCTTCAGAGAGAAAACGCTCAGTCTGGGAGACAGTGGCAGGATGTCCCAGAGAGAGGGGCAGAGCAGACTCTGCTGAAGGGATTGGCCAGAGTAACAGGTCAGACCCAGGTTGAAAAAGAGACAGACATCCACTCACACAGGGACTAGTTGGGATTCAGAGCCTAAGCAGGGGAACCCTGGTTTATTGGTGGTATGAATTCACTAGTACCACAACCGCCTGCTTACTGTAAGGAACCTTCTGATAGGGTTTATAGTTTTTATTAGTTCTTCCTGAGTTTGGGAAAGCCTAAACATTGTTTATGGTGTTTGTAGCGGGCACTTGTTGGTTGCCAACTGTTTGTTCTCGTAAAACCTTTTCCCCATTTCCCTGCCTTTCATTAAGAATTAATCTTTCCTCTTATTTCATTTTTAAACCCCGCTATTGGTGCCATTCTTTCATACCTGTCGGGAAACGTTTGGGCTCCTGAGGTTCCCTTTACCTGAGAAGGGTTCCTCACAGAAGCATACAAAGTGGCCAGATTATAGTGGGTTCATACAACACCCCCTGACACCTAGGAGCCAATAAGCAATTAATATGGACCGCGGGGAAACTGGGTAACGGTTCATAGGTGAGCGGGAGACAGCAGAGACTTCATGCTGGAGCGATGAGTGCTCAAGGCCAATGGCTAGATAAGGGAGGCAGAAGTGAGAAACAGCTGCAGAGCATTACATTACATTTGACAAGCCTTTATTGGCATACGTATACACATACAATAGGAGATCAGATTAAATATAGATCAGAAAATACAAATCCATATAGGATAAAATTGGAGCTACAGCGCAGAAAAACAGCATGAAAGCAGAAAAACCTAATGGTTACTTATCAGAACGTATAGCCATAGCACTAAGAAGAAACCTTGCTACTATTTCTGTTATTTCCGTATCTTGATTATCAAGCAAAAACAGAACCTTAAAATCGTCAGGAATCTCTGGCAGAGCATTACACATTCCAGAGTCAGGGGGAAAACACCATGGCGGGGCTACCCGACATAATAACATGTGAACAAAAATGTAAATGTCTAGTATGCAGTTTGGTCATAGACAATGCTGCAAATGTATCCAAAATGAGAAGAAATTTAGAACAGAAAAAATGGAATACAAAGCTAATAACATAAGGTTACAGTGCTCACTCACTGCACCTCCTAGCCAAAGACTTCAGTGTTCCAGAAATAAAGACTAGTGTCATTGAAATGGATAAATACATCAATAACAATCATTTTGCAGCAGCAGCTCTGAAAAGAATGGGTGGAACCAAGCTAACACTCCCACAAGATGTTACATGGAACTCTGTAAGACCCATCTCATTACTCAATATTGATTATAAATTTTTTATGGCTACATTAGCAGCAAGACTTGATAAGTTTATAGGGTCTCTCATTCATCTTGACCAATCGGGTTTTATCCCAAACAGAGACATTTCAGATAACAACAGGAAAACACTCAACCTTATCCAGTTTTGTCATCAACACTAAATAGACTCATCTTTAATACTCTCTATAGATATAGAGAAAGCTTTCGACATGGTGGAGCCACGTTGTTATTTCTATGGCAAACTTGAAGGTTTTAAACACAAAAGACCTATTCATGAACTCTTATTTAAAATTTGTACATATTTGTATAATCTCTATCCTGTGATATTTGTAACTGGAGAGCTTTAGACTAAGACTCTAGCAGTTTTTTTACATTTGTTGTTTCCTGCCACTTAGTAAAAATTGTATTGTATAGACATTTTTTTTTTGCACGTTATTTGCAGGCAGTCCTTGAAGATTTTGGATTTGGAACAAACTTCCTGAAAACAATTCACACTCTCTACCTCTCTCCCAAAGCTCAACTCAATATTAATGGCTCTTCATTTGCAAACATCGTCCTTTCCCGTGGCACAAGGCAAGGATGCCCACTCTCCCCACTTTTATTCAGCCTTGCTATCGAACGTCTAGCTCAAGCAATACGTTCACACCCACAAATTCATGGGATCTCTATAAGAAAAAGACAATTCAAACTTAGCATATTTGCAGACGACATTGTGGTCTACGCTTCTCAACCAGAACAAACTCTACAATCACTTGAAACTCCTGGACAGTCACCTGAAGCTTTCAAAATATGGAAAAACAACAATATCACCAGCCTATATTCTGTTCTCCAGAACAATACAATTGTAGAGAAATCAAACACAATTGTTCTATTAAAATTGTTATTATTAAGGTAATGGTGATTTTTCTCCTTTCAATAAAGTACAGCAGAAAAGTTGTCCAAATATGAATTATTAACCTATTGAACTGAAAATAGTTTACCTTGCAATTATTTCATAATTAGCTATCTATAATGTGTATAAATGAGATGGCAAGACTGAACATCGATATCTTAGGAATCAGTGAACTAGTGGACAGGAATGGGCGAATTTAACTCAGAAGACCATTATATCTACTACTGTGGCCAGGAATCTCGTAGAAAAAATGGTGTGGCCTTTATAGTCAACAAGAGAGTGCAAAAGGCAGTACTGGGATACAATCTCAAAAATGACAGAATGATTTCTGTCCGATTCCAAGGCAAACCATTCAACATCACAGTAATCCAAGTCTATGCCCCAACCACTGATGCAGAAGAGGCTGAAGTGGACCGGTTCTATGAAGACCTACAACACCTCATAGAACTAACACCAAAAAATGATGTCCTCATCATCATAGGGGACTGGAATGCTAAAGTAGGAAGTCAAAAGGTAACCGGAATAACAGACAAGTTTGGCCTTGGAAAGCAAAATGAAGCAGGGCAAAGGTTAACAGAGTTTTGTCAAGAGAACACACTGGTCATAGCGAACACCCTTTTCCAACAACCTAAGAGGCGACTCTACA